AGTGCATGGCGTGATACTGTGAGCTGTAGATTTCTTTTGGAATGTTTTTCGACTGTGACCAGCGTGAATCGTAGATTCAGAAAATGGCGCGATGCTTGTTGTCGCAAAATTGGTTTTGCCATTTTGTGATTAAAATTGATCGCGTGTGCAACTGCTGATCTGTTGGTGACTTCTGATAGTGCGACCATCCACGATGAACTGCATTTCTACTGTCAGACTGTTTGTGTTAGCACTTCGGATGGCTACCGTTTGCTTTTAATGCGTGTGTATGCTAGTACATATGTTAGACAGCAGTCTGTCAATCTTTCCACAAGGGACTGTGATAAACATTATGTGTGTTTTTTGCTGGCACAGGAGGGGAGCAACTTTGGGGTGACCCGTTTGGTATGAAGCTGAAACTAAGAATACCAGATATAGACAGTAGAATCTCTGTTTGTCCAAGAAACTTACAATTGACTCCAGCGGTCAACTGGCGGAGGGGATCAACATACAGAATGAGGCTTATTGCACTCATACTACTTTTCCTTGATCACCATATATTGGAGAATACACTATCATATAAAATCATACATATCCAAAATATCAAATTAAATCATCGACATTTGTTTCATCAAGGTTTAATAATTCTTAATGAATAAAGTAGTCAGGCTTGGTCTGTATCTTATTCCTATTACAAATGCTTGTGGTGGAGAAGACATTCTGGAAACTGGCAACACTACTCAGAATGCCTTGGCATTTTCCTGTAGAAAATGAATTGAACTACATTATCAGACGCCTCAAAGCTTATTCTTTTAGAGTCGCTGCAATTTTTGTATCTCACTTACTTCTTCAGTTTCACTAGAAATCTGTGTATGGGTAGGCTCTAAATAAGCGTCTCGTAAACTATGGACCAATATATTTGGGAGCAATAGATTTCCTTTGAACCGGAAACAGCATATAAACGAAAACGACAGAAAGATTAAATTCACAACCTGTGGCGACATTGTTTACAAAATAAGACTAACACAGTAACACTAATAACATTCTGCGCACAGACCAGAGATACGCACACGTTGCTCATAAAATAACAGTGATGGTATAAATAATGTGTTGACTTGTTCAAATGTCAACTGAAAAAAAAAAATATGTGACTTTTAATTCCATGGAGTCCGGGACCGGAGAATTTGTAGAGAAACTGAGTTTCAAACTCAACACAAGAGTGAACTGTTGACTGTCTCTGAGAGGCAGCGCCACTCATCACTAAAATTAAAAATAATTGAAATTAAAATGACTTGTACTATTTGATTAGTAAGCAAACTGTAAAGTAAGTAGTAAGTTGTGGTTTTTGTGAAAGTAAAGACAATTTTAGTCATAGCAAGTTTTTGTGCTCTACTTTCAATACCGGACGCGGGCTGGACGGCTTAGTTCGGTTTAGTGGGAGTTCTCTCCCTTGGCCGCACTGCAAACAGTGAGCGGAAAAGTCCGCGAAACAAATGACATACTTAGCTATCATCATGCAGTTGCGTGTAGGGTTGCGTACGGTTGCCTGTAGGGTTGCGTAGTCATCAAACGGTTGCGTGTAGGGTTGCGTAGTCATCATATGGTTGCGTGAAGGGTTGCGTAGTCATCATAGGGTTGCGTGAAGGGTTGCGTAGTCATCATACTGTTGCGTGTAGGGTTGCCTATCATCATACGGTTGCGTGTAGGGTTACGTAGGGTTTGGGTTACGGTTAGGGTTAGGGGTAGGGTTAGATGTGAACATTTTGACGTAGGAGTTCCAAATACTGGCCGACAATCTGATGCTTGTGGGAGTGGCGCCACTGAAATTCTGCCAAATATGACGCCAATAGCGCGCTGCTGGTGCCCAATCGTTGGCGAATTGTCCGTTTGACTAGCATCCACAGGCCTTCGATTGTTTGTGTGTGTATGTGACTGTGCGCGACGTCGACTAAGTTGGTCTGATGGACTACTACCTCGTGCAGATAGATGCCATGCCTTAAGTTTGCAACGTTGCTGTAGCCTTGCCAAGCGTCAATTTTCACATCTAACCCTAACCCTATCCCTAACCCAAACCCTACGCAACCGTATGATGATAGACACCCTACGCAACCCTACACGCAACCATATGATGATAGGTAACCCTTCACGCAACTGTATGATGACCACGCAACCCTTCACGCAACCATATGATGACTACGCAACCCTACACGCAACCGTATGATGATAGCTAAGTATGTCATTTGTTTCGTGGACTTTTCCGCTCACTGTTTGCAGTGCGGCCAAGGGAGAGAACTCCCACTAAACTGAACTAAGCCAGCCCGCATCCGGTATTGAAAGTAGAGCCAGTTTTTGCTTCTGACCAGTCACCAATTATTGGTCCAATGCAATACTATTGGTATTGCCAAGCCAGTTCAATACCATACGGCAATAGTAAAAGTTAGCCATTTTCTGAGCTTTGCATTTTCATTTTCCTAGTGTTAGTTGCTACTCCCAGTCAGTGAGTTGAGTGCATGGCACAACACTGTGAGCTGTAGATTTAATTTGAAATACTTTTGACTGTGCTCAAAGCGATTTGTTTTGTTAATTGGAAATTCAGAAAATGGCGAGTGGCCTGTTGTTAAGAGTACTTGTTCTTGTTGTACCTTATGTGATTAATTGCGTGCAACTATTGCTGTTGTAACTCAACTGCTGCTTCTATCAATGATGAACTAGTGTTGGACTGTTTGTGTTATCACTTAAGATGGCTGACTTCTGCATTTATTTCATTTGTGTGCTGTTGAATGAGCTGATTGCAGGCTTTATCCATTTTCTTCACAAGGAACAGTGATAAACATTCAGTTTGGTTTTCATTGGCACAGGCAGAGAGTAAGTATGGGGGTGACCCATTTGCTATGAAGTTGAAGTTGCGATTACCTAATTACCTAAAATACACAAATCATTTTGTCCCTCTACATCTTACCACAGAAATCTGAGATTAACATAATCCTTTATTATAGCTGAATTGTTTATCCTAAATACAGCTGCTTCCTGCTTACACCAGATTTTAATAAATGCCTGTTCATTTTGTAGTAAAGTTGGAGTCAACAGGAATGATTTTGTTGTATTGGAATTGGTCCCAAATGGCCCTCTCCTTTCTCTGCTGAACCTCTAGAAACTCTTTTGCTCTGGTAATGTTCCCCATTGATTTACAGAAAAACTGCATTTTTAAACTGAATGACATATCCATAAAACAAATCCATAACCTTCAAAGTGTGAGGCAGATGGTTTGATCTCTTTGCTATGGCCCAGACAGTCAATTAATTAAATAAGGGCTGTTTAATTTTGTCCTCTCAACAGGTTTAAGGTTTTGAACAATGGATCAACATCATGGCCCACGGGTAGTAACCCATAAGTGCTCTATTCTTCTTCTAACTCAATTCTGAGTCCAAAGAAGCTCAGCGCAGGCTCTGTAGTATCCTGAAATACTTCAAGTTGATTTTTAACTCCAAATTTTGCAGGGCAGCGCTGTTAGGCTACTCTTTTTATTTCCAGCTGCCAAGGGATTTTTTACATGCGCAACAACGCACACGGGCGTCCAATGTCACTACCCAGAGACCCGGGAAAATTACTAGAAGTCCAAGTGCACGTAAAAAATCCAAGCCCTTACTGGGGATTGAACCCGGAACCTCCACTTGAGGGGGACACCATTCCTCGAGACCATGCAGCCCTCCTGTCCTCTCAGCAGAGATAGCAAACTAAAGTATTTGGGAAACACATTTGACAGGAGATGCCAAAAAGGACTAAAAGCGCTAAGGACTATGGCTGCAGTGGACAAAGAGCAGAGAATGCTTTTCACACTATATCAGCATCTGATCCTTTTAGTGATTGATTGTGGACTAGAACTGCTTTCTGTCTCAAAGAGTTGGATGACTGAACTAGAGCCCATACAGAACACAGCTATGGGGGTCATTCTGGTTTGTACCAGAGACACCTCAATGGTGTGTATGTGGTTCATCCTTGGTTTGCCAACTGTTCCAGGTAGGCTCAAGGTGCTGCAGGTGAAGTCATTGTCTTAGAGTAACTGCAGACACATATCACCCTTTGCATGAAGCTCTGGGCATAGTTTGGGGTTAGCGGCTGATAAGAGGGAAATCATGGATGACTTAGGCAGAAGACACTGTCAGACAGGTTTGCATCCTGGAGAATATTAGACAAGGAGAGGAGTGGATCAGAGTGCCAGTGGAACAATCTGTTCTATGTCAGGAGGCAAAAGATATGTGTGGGGTGGGGTTTCTTAGCAAAATTAAATGGTCGATGTTTGGTGCAGGAAAGCCTAGTATTTGAAATCACAACATCCAGCTTAAGAATGGAGGTGGTCACTGCAGTTTTCTGCTGGTTAGAGACATTAACACAAACACACACACATCGTGTTTGTAACTGACTCAGCGTGCTAAAGAAGATGAGGACAGGCATGTTTTGCTGCAGAGGTCACAGGTGAAGAATATTGTATTGGTCTTTTCTTCTGGTACGCAGGTGTGTTAGGAAATGAACAGCCAGACAGACTGAATGGCTATGCACAACTTAGTGGAAATATTGATGCTTGATAAGACAAAAGTGAGGGAGAGCATGTACAATTCAGATGAGCAAATGAATCACAACAGTCCCGTCAGAATGATGCAGCTTGGAGCAACAAGGGTTTCTAGCCAGTGCTTGAGGCTCAGAGGAAAGGCAAGGCAGACGTATAATCAGAGTGCTATGCTACTGGCATCATTGCTTTTGGAACTCTGTGCTAGCTGCTGAAGATGGCAATGGATCGCTTATGGGAAAGACCCGAGACCTGTGATGTAGATTCTTAAGTCAACTCAACTGAACTTATTTTACCCCCTCTCAATGCTTATATTTATATCTGGTTTTCTTAGGAATTTGTCCACTGTTTTATCTTGATTGTCACATACTTCAACTGCATTATTGATCAAATAAAAGACCAGCTAATAAATTGATACATCCTGTCACTTTGGCTTTCCAGGTATTTTAAAGCTAAAATGATTAAGGTGCATCCTAGAGCTGCTGGTGCAGTAATCAGTGCCTCTCAGACTCTACAAGAGATTTGCTGTACTGCGATCAGTCTCCACTGTGAGCAGTACCCACTGCACATGATAGAAGGTTAGTCATCTTTGATTGAATTACCTTTGATACTGTTGCTGAGTCAGCACCTATGGCTTAGGGGTTGTAAAAGCAGTTTCACAATCCCAGCTTACCAGGTTTCAAAGTCATTTGCAGGTCATTTGGTAGAGGACCAGTTTATGTTAATTTTGACAATGAAATGAGCATCATATCTTTCAGAAAGCAATGACAGACTACTGAAAGTAAAAGTTGCTAGTAAAACCACAAACAGTCAATACATGCTGAAGTTGATTTGGGACTTCCTGAGGAGGATAGAAAACTAGTTATTGCTGATTGAACCTGACAAATAAAGAGCTTTGGCTTTATAGAATAATTTAAGTCCATTCTGCATAGAACTATAGAGACAAAGTATTCCAAAGGCATGTATGAATAGACATCATCATGAGATGGACTGTGTTCTTCTGAAGGTTTAACTCTTTCAGGCCCATGAATTTTGACAGACTTGGCCCACATTAATTTCCCTTTACAAAAATGGCAGAGGGGTGGTGTACCAAAAGAAAGGCAATAGAGAATGTAATATACTTCTAATCCCTACAAAAATATTTTCTTTTAAAGAGAAATGAATGTACACTGGTGTAAATTCACTTTCCGGAAAATATAAATTATCATTATCAGAACTAAAAACATGCGACTGAAACCATTTCTGAGTTTCGGCGACATAAAGACGTATTTTGTGACCTGTACTTGTGGTTGGAAGGTTGGTATCCATGGCACTCGAAAACAAACTTAGCAATTGCACTGTTGCTAGCTATGAATCAGATCAATCTGCCCATGTGTGTTGGAACACAGAATTCTAGTCGAAGGACAACGTTAGAGTAACCTTCCCTGAATACTTTAATTGTAGTTCCGAACATCAGAAACAAATACAGAGCTGTGTGTGAAGCAGTACGCACGGGACACATCATTGACGCTGACAGTGTTGTTTGGGCAAATCAGAACTTCTCAATCAACACTCAGTGTTGCTCGGGCCTTACAGAGTTAAAGTTTAAACAACGGATCAACATCACGGAACAAGGGAAGAAACCTATAGGTGCTCCGTTCTACTTCTACCTCAAGTCTGAGTCTGAAGAATGTCAGCGCAGAGCACGAACTCCGTAGCCTCGGCGAGGATCCTGAAATTTTTGGGTGATTTTTAACTCCAGATTTTGTCCGGGCAGCGCCGTTAGGCTATTGTTTTCGATTTCCAACTGCCGATTGATTTTTACATCAATACACACGGGCATCCGATCTTACTACCCAGAGACCAGGGGAAATTACTAGAAGTCCACGTGAAAAATCACAGCCTTCAGCAGAGACTGAACCCGGAACCTCCATGGGTCAAGGCGGACGCCATGCCTCGAGACCATGCAGCCCCCTTCTTAGTTACCTTGAAGTGGAGCAGTCTGTTCTGAGGCAACTTTTTGATACTGAGAAAGCACCTGATGAATTATGATGGTTTATAATGATAGTTTACAGTAATGAATCTTATTTCCCCTATGTTTTTTCAGAATGATTCCATCTTATTAAAGTAGTTTATGCTGTAATTAACTGTAAAAAATTTTTTTTTACAACTGTAATAATATATCAGACGGATCTGCATTGTTTTGATAGTTGTATCGAGAGCTTACTGTTCAGAAAGCATTAACAAACTAGTGAATGTAAAAATGCTGCGGTTGTTTCTGCAGCATCTGTAATGGACACATGCAACTAACTAATTAATAATGTACCACATCTTCCACATCCTCCAATGTTTTTGTTTTTCAGAACTGAGTCTGCCCTGCCTGGACTTGCTGGTCCAGCATCTATCAATGTTTGATCTGCTGAGGCTGGAGCAGTTCCTGCAAGCTAGAGGTTCGTGCCTTGTTTGCGAATCTCACATGAGGGCACATTTGAGATAGAAAAACTATGGCAGCAGTAGGGTATAATTGTGATAATAGTGAGAGAACAAGATAATGTGAGCCAACAAGATGTTAAATTAGAAACAAATGAGTGCAGAAGGGGCTAAAGATACAAGTCTAAGTAAAGTTTTTAACTATCAGAGGTCGTGTATGTTGCCCACAGGTGTTCCAGATAACGTTCAAATGGTAAATATATGTTAAGGTGCTATTAGGTTTATTTTATTTTATGATACCAAGTGCAGCAGCATAGTGGCTAGATGCCTGTTTACCAACCCAAAGGTTTTGAGTTCGAATCTGTACTGAGGCAGTTTTTTTTAAATTTTAAACTGACTTTGACCCAGCCAAAAATTTCATGTCCTAGGTAACAAGTTTTTTCCTAGGAACTAAAGGCGAACTGACTGGTCTGTACAAATATATAAGTCTGCCATTGTATGCCCGGTGCACCACTGGCATAAAAAGGGTCCTTTACTTACTATCATACCCAGTAGTCTTTTGTTTATGAAATTCATTGGATGAGGATGGATTGATCTAGAGCCACCAGCAGTCAGCAGGATGTTCCTGCTCAGCTGAGGATTAAACTTGAACTGCTGTTGGCATCTAGAGCACAGTAACAGTACTGGTCCATCCATTTGTTATATTGTTGTGAGGAAACATGCTAACTATTGTCATGGGAAATTTCCACTGAGACGAGCACCAGAATAAGCCTACAAGACTGGCCAGACTTTACCAGCCAGAGAGGGAAAATCAGGACCATGAAAGCAACATTACAAGAAAAATTGTAGTCATCGGAATGTGGAATGTCAGGTGCACCATTCTGTTCATGACTCATGCCAAATGATGATTAGATCAAACTGATCTTTAGAGAAGATGATAGGATAAATGTATAAGTGGGACTGTTTTTAAAGAAAAGGTATAGTGTTTGTTTTCTAATTTTTTTTCCCCAGGAATAAATGCTAAACATATCATGTTTGGCCTGCACCGTAAGCTTTTTCAGAGTGGTGAGACCTATCCAATCAAGGCAACTACGTGCCCACACTTGTTGAACTTGTTCCCGTGTGATGGCATGGAGTGGGGACTGTCTCGCTTACTCTTCCGTAGAACCATAGCAGTTCTTGTTGAAGAGTATAACTCCAGTGAAGAGCAATATAGAAACTTCCAGAATGGTAAGCTGTTGTTACTATGCAACTTGCCTGATATGTTTTTTTTTTTCTTTTTTTGGGGTGTAATATGAATTGCATAAATAGCCTGCTGTCCTGATAGCTGTATTATTGTGGCTATATCAAGCACCATTGTAGTCTGGAGAGAACTTGATGGAGGGTGCAGTTTCCAGACAATAAGGCAGAGGCCGACTTTCACAAAGGTGGATACAGGACACTGAAGGTACATTGGCTAAGAAACTAAACAGAGCTGAAGAATTGTCTAAAGAAAGAGAAACTTTCAGGCCAGGAGAGCAATGTTCTGTAGAGGACCTGATGATTGATTAAAGATGAATAGATTAGCATGGAATCAGTGAAGAGATTAGCATGGAATCAGTGAAGAGATTAGCATGGAATCAGTGAAGAGATTAGCATGGAATCAGTGAAGAGATTACCATGGAATCATTGAAGTGATTAGCATGGAATCAGTGAAGAGATTAGCCTGAAATCAGTGAAGAGATTAGCCTGAAATCAGTGAAGAGATTAGCCTGAAATCAGTGAAGAGATTAGCGAAGAATCAGTGAAGAGATTAACATGGAATCAGTGAAGAGATTAGCTTGAAATCAGTGAAGAGATTACCATGGAATCAGTGAAGTGATTAGCATGGAATCAGTGAAGAGATTAGCATGGAATCAGTGAAGAGATTAGCATGGAATCAGTGAAGAGATTACCATGGAATCAGTGAAGTGATTAGCATGGAATCAGTGAAGAGATTAGCCTGAAATCAGTGAAGAGATTAGCCTGAAATCAGTGAAGAGATTAGCCTGAAATCAGTGAAGAGATTAGCGAAGAATCAGTGAAGAGATTACCATGGAATCAGTGAAGAGATTAGCTTGAAATCAGTGAAGAGATTAGCATGGAATCAGTGAAGAGATTAGCATGGAATCAGTGAAGAGATTAACATGGAATCAGTGAAGAGATTACCATGGAATCAGTGAAGAGATTACCATGGAATCAGTGAAGAGATTACCATGGAATCAGTGAAGAGATTAGCATGGAATCAGTGAAGAGATTAGCATGGAAATAGTGAAGAGATGACCATGTAATCAGTGAAGAGATTAGCCTGAAATCAGTGAAGAGATTACCATGGAATTAGTGAAGAGATTAACATGGAATTAGTGAAGAGATTACCATGGAATTAGTGAAGAGATTAACATGGAATCAGTGAAGAAAATAGCAAGTGTGTGCTGTGTCTATACAGTTAAGCTTGGCTGCAGTGGATCATTTGCTGTCCATGGGAATGTTGCATGGTGATGCGTGTTCCATTGTGTGACTCTCTTACCATTGTTTAGTTGCTGCAGAATAGGTATTTTCATAAACATCCACTACAGAAATTGAACCCTGATGCTCGTAATTGTGAAGCTCTTAAATGCATTCACTAATTTAAAGGCACAATGGTCTCAATGAAGAATATGATGGTCTCACTTACCAATAATACTTCATCTAATTAAGGGTTGTTTTTTTTTTTAATCTTTTTTTTTTCGATTCTTTATCCCTTCACATATAAATCATTCCTACCTTTCTGTTTATGTGCATTCTATGCTCCCATAACCTCCATTCCACAAACCCTTTTCCAACACTTGCTGTTCTATGAAATTTTACCTTTCTGTCCTCGTCTTCCCCTTCCTACTTGTTTCTTATCTCCATGCAATCCCTTGACTGTTATTTCAGTGATCTCACAGCACACATTTTTTTTTTCCTGAGGATTAATATTTCAGCGGGATTATCTTAAAGACCTACATATTTTAGCTAAGTATTATATTTGAGAAGTTTATAATGTAGTTGTATTACTGTCTTTTTTTTTACTTTCAATTTTTGCTTAATTATTTCATGGATACTTTCTAGCCTCAGTACTCATTCTTTCTCTTAATGAGCATGTAGACTTGGTTATCATTAGAATGGGTACCCTGAGAGATACTCAGAGAGACATTTTTCCTTTATGTTTGGTGTTATTACACAGAGCTGCCATAGCAGCTGGATAAAGTGGTAGCAGAGTTTGTATCTTCTTTTTCAGCATTGCTTGCTCTTAGGCATCATTGCTGTAGATTAGTAGAGTTACTATATTTTATTTTTTCATTATTATAGGAAATGATTTTAACTTTCAAGGACTCCTTAAATCACAAAGATAACTGGTTACTCACATCAGAAATAATGAGGATATAAGACAGTTAGGCACCATGGAATGGAGAAACATCTATTAGAAATGATTGGCAGCTCACAAGACAAAAGGCTTGATGACCAATGCTGCATGGCAGTGACTGTAAGAATAGGGATTCCTCATTATATTGATAGCACATAAACCTACTCAGTCACCCACTTGCCTAATTCTTATATAAATAACTTGATCTCATTACAGGTAGTCAAGAGCATCTAGTAATGAGAAATGAATGTTTGATGGAGATGTTCTGTCCCCCGAGTGGATGCTTTGAGGAGGATATCAAAGCCAAGCTTTCCCGACTGCCTATGATGGTTGAGAATCTAACCGTCATGGCCGCTAAGAAAATTCTGTTTCTGACAGTTGATTATAGAATCCTGAAATTTTTGCAAGACAAACGATGTGAAAATATATTGCAGTCATTATATGAATCAGTAGTTGTGGTATCTTTGCTGATGAAAAGTACACCCCATCTTGTTGACTTTGTGAGGAACATAAGAAAGTATGGTAACAAATTTGAACGTGTGTGTATATATGGAATCAAGAGAAATGATCTGCTGTTCCTTGATGAGGTTCTGTCCCTGTGCAGTGGAGTTGTTGAATATGGGAGCACTCCACAGGGACAGCAGGACAAGGAAGCCTTGAGACAAATCATGTTAGCTGATGACTGCATGGAGGAGATCTTTCAGTTTGCTTCCTTAGCTCCAGATCTGACACCTGTAGTCGAGATGAGGTAAGTTTCCTTTTCTTTATTCTTTTTTCTCCTTCTTCCTTCTGCCCCGCCTTTTTCTTCTTATTCTTCATCACATTTTTTCTTCTTCTTCTTATTACTATTATTATTATCATCATTCCTCCAGTAGCCATAAAGAAGTATTAAGGGATATGTAAAGATTTTCTTGTTTGCTTTTTCTCTTGTGCAGTGTAAGTTAGTCTTCATTTCTGTAATGTTTTTTTCGATGCCAAAACTCCATGTATTCTTGAATTGCCTTACCCTTACTCTGTGCACATTATTTTTCTTCATTGGGGCTCCCTGTGGAATGAATTAATAATGAACTTATGATTAAAATTGGGTGAAATACTTTCTGATAGATAGAACAATCCAGACTAAGATGCGCAACGGAATCTCTTCTAAAGAAGTCTTTAAGGAGGGCTTGCCACAAGGCTCATCATTGAGCTGTACACTGTTCCTAATCTTTATCAATGACCTGCCAGAACAAATCAAGGCCGAAAAAGCCTTGTACGCTGATGACCTAGCAATATGGCAGAGTCATGAAAATGTGGAAAGTGGAGCCCAAAGACTGAATGGAGACCTTAGAAGACTGCATGAGTACTGACAAAGATGGAAACTCAAAGTTAACTGTGCAAAGACGGTCTACACAATCTTTACCAAAAGCCACCAAGCAGCAAGGAAGAATATTAACCTGAGGTTAGACAAACACCAAGTGATGAAAGAAGAGCATCCCACATACCTTGGAGTCACACTTGACCGGCAGCTCAGCCTCAAGAACCGCATTGAAAACATCAGGAATAAGTCATTGAGACGGTTACAGTTATTAAAGAGACTTGCAGGTACATCATGGGGATCAGACAAGGAAACTCTGAGGGGCTTATATCTAGGATATGTTTGCTCTGTGATAGAGTACAACAACTCACTGCTTACAACTTGCTCCAAAACTAACCTAGAGACTTTTGACAGATAACAAAATAATGCCCTCCGATTATTCTGCGGAGCTATGTAGTCTACACCAACTGCTGCATGTGAAATCCATACAAATGTGGAACCCCTCGGGTTGCGGGGAGAAAAGCCACTTTAGAAATTTATGAAAGATGCGTTAGAAAAAATCGTAACCATCCTAATAGACATCTTGTAGAAAACTGGGAATATAAACAAAGAATAAAACACAAATCGGTTTTACACTGTGTTAATGAAATTCAGGACAGATACCACCTCCCAGAAAGACGTCAAGGAATTCAGAATGTTGCAAGAAACCTACCATCACATGCTCACTTTATAGCTCCAGAAGTCCGAATTAAATTGGTAGGTGAGGAAACCAAACAGTCCGCTCTTATGAACTCATCACTAAAGACCGTTGATTCTTACCCCCAAGAATGGATACGTGTCTATACTGATGGATCAGCATTTAAAGCTACCATTAAAGCAGGTTACGGAATCTACATAGGTTATCCCAATGGATCTGTTGAAGAGATTTTTGATGCATGCGGGGAATTCTGTTCAAATTATGAAGCTGAAATAATTGCACTGGAAACAGCAGTATACCACCTTAAGACTGTAATGGATGTTTACCCTTCAAAGGTCCAAAATATTGTCATCTTCACAGATTCAATGTCTGCCCTTCAAGCTCTGGAGGGCAGTGAACGCTGCAGAACTAACATAGCCAAAATAATCCTGAATGCTGATCAGCTTATTACCTCATACAACATCAGAATAGTGATGCAGTGGATTCCAGGTCACTCCGGCACACCAGTTAATGACAGAGCTGACAGATTGGCAAAGAAAGGAGCAACACAAGAACAACCACCCACAGCGACAACCCTCCAGACAGCAAAAACACTTATAAGAGCTATAAACAAAGAGACTTGGTTGAACAGATGGGCTATGGGAGACACTGGAAGAGAGGTTTATAGACATATGTCTGGCCCTGATCCTAATGACAGCATTAACCATCTAACAAGAAGGGACCAGGCCACCATCTTCAGACTTAGAACGCAACATACTCCACTCAATGGACATCTAAACAGAATACAGCCACAACAATCCCTAGAGTGCCAGCTATGTAACTACCCCTACGAAACTGTTGAACACCATCTCTTTGAGTGCCCAAAACTCAGTGAGACAAGAAGAACGCTACTCCCTCCGAGACCAGACAAGTGGAACACCTTGTACGGAGGAAAAGAACAGCTTGTGAAATCATGCAGATTCCACTACATGATTAAAATTGTATTTCTTTATGTTACTATATCAGCTCTTCTGAGACAGCTCTGTTGATTTTACTTCTCAATAAACATTCAATTTATTTTATCTGTTTCATAGTGTTACCACATTATACTCTTATACTGAGTTGATTGTAACAAACTGTCACTCATACTTGATTGTAGCAAATCATCACTCATACTGCATGATTGTACCAAATCATCACTCAAACTGGGTGATTGTACCAAATTATCACTCACAATGGGTGACAATTATACAGTTTGTTGAGAAAATATTATCTGAAGCACTATTTTTTGTTCAGATTAATAGTTCTTCGAATGTCTTTCTGCCTTTTGGGGATCTACTTCGTTTTGCTGGGTTATATTCTGCCTGGCTTCACGCTTTCCTTGAGCAGAACCTCTGAAAATGTGCTCCTGTGAACTAATGAAAACACTCTCTGAAGCCAGCCTCATGCTGGATAAGGATAGTTAGAGATAGAATGTGCAGATCTCATCTGTGTGAGGTTTTATCATTTTGCCTTCAAGTGCAACATCTCATTGTCATCAGTTACTGAAGGAGGCTGTATACACTTCAATAACTGTCAGTCAGAAACCATCTCCAGACTGAAGGTTTGCTGCAGTGATTCTTTGACATTCGTTTTCCCTCACCCTGGTTTTATACTGTTTCAGATGGTTGTTGGTCTTCCTGATTGAATTGCTGCTTTTCTCTTGTTTGTCTCCCTCAACTTCCAAGCAGTGCTGGGCAGTAGAGGTCTATGGGTTTATGATATACAAAATGGAAAGAAGCAGCCAACAGTGAATATCGTAGAAAATGGAGAGATATTATAACAAGTAACAGTTTTCTCCTGTCTTAAATGTATAATAACAGATAATGGCAGAAATGAAATAGAAATCGATACGATAATACTAATGCTAAATTTAGTAAAGGTCCCTTTTCGCGCCTTTAGGCGCATCGGGAAAAGCACCCAAAATTTTAAAACCAATCGGCACTAGGTGGGTATGTAGTCAGCATTACACCGGCTGTCTTTACTTCCCCAGGACATACATCCTGGTACCCATTGTAGGCTGGGTCAACCTGTGATGCCCCACACCATGATACAAATCCACACGGCCAACAGTGGGTTTAAATCGCGGTACGTTGGAATTCCGAGTTGGACTTGCAACGCCTAAGCCAAGGACACTGACTCAAGATAATAGGAATGGCCAAAAATATCTTCAACAAGAAGTGACAATTACTGGCATCTGGAGAGATAAACAACACATTACAAATGAGAATCATCATGTTTTGTATACTCAGCCCCTCTGTGCAGCAAAAAGACTGAACTGAAAAAAACACCTGAATATTGTATTGAGGATCTTGAGATGTGGATATACAAAAGAACAGATTTTATTTTATGTAAGCAAAAACAGTCGAATACAAAGGTCCTGTGGAGATGAAAATGGAAGTGCTATAAGAAATTAACAAAGAGACAGATAAAATATAACAGCAGTATTAAAAGATGCAAAAATCTTTTAATAACTATGCTGGTGAGAAAAGCTGAAGGCTAAAGAGCAAGAGACAGACAATGATAAAAGTTAGCAGACAAACAGCAGTCTGAGAGTGTGTGCAACCACAACAGAAGACAGGGTGAGTGAATCCGTTGTAGCCAACCTTCATTGTGGAGACGGAACCTTTCTCCCATAACAATCCTCCAGGAAAACGTCTCGCTCACAAGCAAGACGTCCCGTATCCGGTGCACCATGTAAAGAATACTTATTTTAAAAGGCAGGGCATTAAGTCAGCATAAAATAAGGGCATGCTGCCTGTATTGTGTTTTTTTTCCTGTACACATAGGCAATTCCTAACAGCATGAATATTTTCAGACTTGTCTCTCAACTTCCTGAAGCTTAAACACTTTTAACCTAGTGACCAGCAAACAAACATTTATGAACGTTCACAACCATTTGCTTTCCTCGCTGTTAGTTTTAAATCTTCATCAATATTTTTCATTCAGTCATTACTTCACATCTCTTTATGTTTGTGTGTGTGTGCATGTGTACCTGCTTCTGTATGCGTACTCCTGTGTTAAGCAGACACTTTATTGTAAATCTGGGACTACAGCTCATACAGGCACATGGAAAGCTGTTGATTGTACAGTGATATATTATCTTATGTATTATCTCAGATGAGAATGTAACTGTTCACAGTTCCCACACTGATCCAGAGTTTGATCTCATGGATGATGCTGTGCTGCTAGGTACTCCAGATTATCCTTCCAAATTGTAAGTTCATTGTAAGTTGATTTCCTCATATTTCTGTTTCTGCTTTTTTATTTTAAAATGATTACTAGTGATGCTTATGATGTTGTAATCCTTTTTACCAAATGTACGTTCCCTTATATTTATAACATCAGCCTCTTACTCTGCTTAGCTTTCATCTGCTGCTGGAACTTGAGTGTTCTGTGCACATTCATTTTACAGGTCTTCCCTATTTGTATGCAGACTTTTGGTTCCTTGCCTGTCAGACAGTTGTGCTCCAACTTTGAAGGAAACCCCCAATTAGTCAACTCTTATAACAAGCTTGTTAGGGAGGCAGTGGGTTATTATTCTTCCCCCCCCCCCCCCCCCCCCCCCCCCCCCCCCCCCCCCACAATGGGCGCTTGGAACCCACAGGAAGATATAACATTCATTCCACTCATTTGTTTACCATGAATGTTGTATTTAAAGTTAATGATCTTTTCCAGCTTTTATAGATTTCTTTTTTTAATTTTTCATCACATGCCATATCTAAAGTTATCTATTTTCTGTTTTCTGGTCATCTTCCATGATTAATTATGATAAAAGTGACCCATTTGTGAAGTCTAGATCTACCAGTTGGAGCAGTGCAATAGAAAAGTAAAAGCCATGCAAGAGTTGACAGTCTTACATCAACCAGTACAGAACAGAGTCCTCAGTGTGCGCACATTGAGAAACATGTTTCAGAGAAGATCAGGACACTTTGGGATATGCCCGACATGCGATGAAAATAAATGATGAATAGTCATGATAAAGAATAGATGCTAATGAACTTGAGACAACCCCACAAGTGCTCAGTCTCTTCCAGCAGAAGTTGAATGCTATGAATTTAGATTTTTCTCTGTTGTAAGCATTTTTGTTACATGTTGGAACCTGAAGTCTTGTCTGTTATTTCTATTTTTAATTCTCCACTGAAATAGTTAAAATTAAGAATGCGACAAGCTGACTGTTATTACCTGCAGAACATGATCTCTACCCATCTTCATTTCTTCAACTTTAGATGCTTTTAAAAACAGTTCTTTTGTTTCTACACACACTCCTATATATATACATCACTTCCTGAAGGTTTAAGGCTCCTGAACTAACAGCTACAGATGTGATAACTATCTTCTATAACTTTCTGACATGTGGACTGAGTTAGAGACAGTGATCGCTTTTGTAAATGAAATATTTCAAGTCATTCCACTGCTGCATTGGCAGCCTCAATCTTCATTACTATATAAACAAAAGGTTGTAAATATTCATTTCTTTATTACATGTCTTTCCCATTTCAGTGTCAGTTCAGGAATTCACTGTTCGCTTCTCTTCTTTACATCTCCAATGTATGTTATGGTCATATTATGGTAGTTACTCCTTCTATTACCACAGTGTCTCCCTTTAAACCACATGGGTGTAAATTCTTCTGTGGTTCCCTTTCTGATTCTAGTCTCTGCTCGTACCACAAGTGACTTCCTTGCTTCTGGTTCCCTTAATACCATCTGTGTTTCCACTGGGAGGAAGATGTTATTTAGCAGCGACACACATGTAGCCTAAGCCAAGGATTGTTTTTGCTTCGATGAGCCTTTTAGCTTAGAGATTAGTGAACGCATTTAATAGTTTCATGATTCTCCAGTACTGCAGTTTGATTCAACGATTATTTAAATACGTGCTGTTCTTGTGATTTTAAGACAGTCGAACAAGAGTCACACAATGGAAAAGATGGGGAGCCTCAACATGCAGTATTCACAAAGCAAGCAGTGGGTACACTGTAGCCAACCTTCATTATGGACACAGTGCTGTATTTTTAGTGTTTGTTTGGACAGATGTAACAGAGCAGACCAACCCATTATGTAGATGGCACTAATACGAAGAAACAAACATGTGTCAGTAGAAACCAAAAGAGCGTTCTGTGACACAATCTTCTCACCACCCCTGTACTATCAGTGCCAGACCTGGACAGTGATAGAAAAAAGATTACAACTAAAATGAGATTCCTATGAAAGGCTCTCAATATAACAAGAAGAGATAAGATCAGGAACTATGACATCTGAAGGAGAATGGGCATAGCAGCAACTCTGGATTTCATTAGAAAGCAGGTGAAATGGTTTGGCCATATAATAAAGATGCCAACAAACAATGAACCACAGCAGACAAAAATGTACATACCAGACGGGAAGTGAAGAAGAGGCCGACCATGCAAACGACGTACAGAGGGAATAACAGAGTCTCTGGGAATCCCCATTTAGGAAGTGCACAAACGGGCACTTCTCTGTAAATTATACTTCACTTTTCTCAACAGTGATAACACCATAGTTTACACATGGTATATGTTTTCTCAATCGTGACAGCATTGCAGTTTACACATGGTATATGTTTTCTCAAGTGTGACAGCATTGCAGTTTACACATGGTATATGTTTTCTCAATCGTGACAGCATTGCAGTTTACACATGGTATATGTTTTCTCAATCGTGACAGTGTTGCAGTTTACACATGGTATATGTTTTCTCAACAGTGACACTATGTCAGTTTATACATGATATATGTTTTCTCAACAGTAACAGCACCACAGGTTATACATGGTATATGTTTTCTTTTTCTCAACAGTGACACTATGTCAGTTTTTACATGGTATATGTTTTATCAATAGTAACAGCACCACAGGTTATACATGGTATATGTTTTCTCAACAGTGACACTATGACAGTCTATACATGGTATATGTTTTCTGTGCAGTGTCAGTACCACAGTTCACATATGGTACGTTTTCTTAACAGTGACAGCACTACAGGTATGCTAAAAGCTGACTTCAAATTTACAAACCTGGTGAAGATTGAGTATTATGCCTTGATATTAAATCATCACCTGAAGTCCTGGCTGGCCTTGCAGGAGCTACATATTGGAGGTAAGTTTGTCTGCTCTCTTTTTGTTTGTTACACTCATCAGTTTATTACCTCAGACCTGCTGAAGGAAACACAGATGGTTTATTCTGAATTGTTTGGGGTTGAGAACGGGCATCATAGCTATCAGGTTCATTGAGAAACCCAAGCTTGCCCTTTCGGGGGATATTTAAAAAGTTTACAAAATTTATTTTTTTTAATATGTTTATTTAAACAGAAGCTTATTGGTAATCTGAAGATAAAAATTCAGGATACACATAATTTTGTTTAAAATGGCTACTATAAACAAGAACATGGGACAAATAAAATATTGTGTAGGTTACTGATGAATATTAAAATGCTCCACACCCACTTTGTTCTTGACAGTGAACCATGGCTTTAATTGGCTGAAAACTGCTGCTGTAAGCATATAGGTCATCATATGGCGGGCATAGCATGATAGGACAAACATATACTGTGTCACTGCAGTATGATTAGCTTATTTCTGACCAGCTTTCCTTCTAATATCCATTAAAAAATATGAAGCAAATCAAAGTGTATGAACACTTGCAAGTATTATATCACTACTTGGCACTAGTTCCGCAGGTGGAGCCCAAGTTTGACTAGATAAATTATGGCAACAGATTTTCAGTGAGCATACAGGCGAAATGACAGTGTGGTGGTACATGATGCCATTATTAGGGTGTACCCTCAGATTACTTGAAGGTTGCTCCTGCATCTGTTTTTTAATGGAAGCGTATGTTGAGAATGCACTGCAGCTTTCCTAGTAGCTTTGTTTTCTGAATACACCTGCATCCAGAACTCTTTTTGGCTTCTTCCATGGTATTTCTATTTTAAACTACTGTCTTTGCTGATCTCAAGCAGATTTTTAAAATTCTTGATTGCTGCCACGACACCCAGTTTGAGAACCACTGACTTAGAGGTTAGTGTATATGTTGTGGACGCAACAGAACTACATGGGGGATAAGCCTCGGTAGACTGGTCCGAGCCCCTGGTGGAAAAGAACTTTAAATCCCTAAATCCAGAGTTGTCCGATCAACATCCGCCCGTGTTACTGCCAAAGTCTGTCTGATAGACGTCTTTCCTAAAAATGAAGAACCAATAGTCCATTTGTCACTCTGGTTGCTCAGGTAGGCGCTCAATTTGCTATGCCAGTGACGATAAATATAAGACCATAGCCTCAGTACCTGTTGCAAAACCACTATAATATCTTGTCCGAATGTCCGAAACGTGCAGCATGAGATGTCCAGGCCTGGTGTCGTGACCCATGTCGTGCTCCCCCCCCCCCCCCCCTCTCTTCCCTGAGATTGTCTAGGATGATAACTGGCCAAAACAATTGTTGAAAGATGGACAGCCTACTGATGATCGGTAGACTCCTGCTGTGCATGTTCCCGCTGTGGAGTTCTTATTATATTATTATTGGTAATGGTTGGGTATTAAAGTTCATTTTCCACAGTGGGCAGTTTAGGTCAAGACTGTTCTCATTCACACAGCAGTTTGAGAGTTGCACCATGGAAGAGGCTTGAGCCTGACCGTGTAATATTTCCAGATTCACTTACTGTATTCTGTGCATGACCTGTGATGTTTTCTGTATTTCAGTTCCTTGTCTGCATCCTAAGACTGTGAAGTGTTTGTGTTATGTTCTGCAGCGACCTCAGTTCAGATGTTTTACACTGTCATCTGCCAGTGTTGTCAGCTCTGTAATAGAGGATCTTCTTTGCGCAGTTGCCTCACGGAGGTTTGTCAACTTGTTATTGCAGTCATGAATACATGCATGCTCATTTGATCCTTATATGATTGCATTATATATTTTCACTAAGTCAGCATGCAGTGGTCAGTTTCTTGTGCAAACAGGGCATTTATATTTCTCTATCCTATCCGTAATTACTTTTATCCAGATTTGTCTTTGTTGTTAACATTAACTCCTTTTGAGTCACAGACATCAGTAGTTAATTTAAATAAGTAAGTTAGAATTTCTTCTCCTTTTTTAGAATTTCTTTTTCTTTGTGGTCAGTTTTATATAAAATTATCAGCTTGTCATCAGCAAGTCTCCAAGGGACGAAGAAGAAGAAAACAAAATCAGTGAGGAGAACTGCTTATATACATTACCCCAACCTCAAAGCTGAGGTATTTTAGCCATATTAAACTTTGAGATGGTCTGATAAAAAAATTATGATAAATGGTACACTTTCCGGAAGACAAGGCAGAGATCAACCTCTGCAAAAGTTGATACAGGATTTTGAAGATGCAAGTATATAGAACTTGAGAACTGTTTCTTTCTCTGGAGAAAGAGAGACTTTTGTGCGTGCCTTGACTGAAGTGACATTCTGTAAAAAATTGTAGATCAATGAGTGTTTCTGGGTTAGTTTATCACTCAGATGCTCTGTGTTGTTACAGAGTGCTAAACATAATTTCAAAGAAAAAATTGACTTTACTACACACAAAAAAATTATATACAGTTAAATACAGACAATGCAGCTTCTTCATAGTTAGGTACAGTTTTTAAACAGTCCTTTGAATGCAAATTGGGTGACTGTCACATCCTTCTCAAATAAAGTGAATCTTCCTGGGTTTAGCTTATCAGCACTGCTAAATTCTCTAACAGCTGACCGCTCAGTTGTCGTTGGTGTAAATTCACTGTCAGTATCACATTCCAAAAAATGTATGTTTTTATTACCATAATCAGAATGAAAAATATCTGACTGAAACAGTTAAAGAGCTTCAACCACAGAAAGTTGTATTTTGCGGCCTTTACTTGTGTTCGGAACATTGTTATCCATGGTCAGTCGAAGATTAAATTATAACATTCACTGTTTAAAAAATGACGCTGGCAATGAATTGGATTAATTTGTGCCTAAATTTATGGGCAAAGACTTGTAAACAAAGTAAAAATGTTGAAGTAACCTGCCCTGAATATGTTAATTGTAGTTTTGAACATTAAAACCTAATTTAGAATGGTAGAAGAATCAATATCTGTGTGACACATGACTGTGGTTTAGGCAAATCAGGGCTTCTCAGTCACCACACACAGCATTGCTCAGGCCTGAAAGAGTTTAAGAAAGAAACAGACAGACAAACTGTCCCTTAACAAGCATATTGTAAATGCTGACTAATCATTATTTTTAAAATGTTGTGCATATATTACTGTAACCTAGAATGTTTTTATCTATGACTGTGTTGTCTGATTTCAGAAACTCCAACCCCTTAGAAAAGTTGATGTTTGTCAGTGTACAGGAGAATGTGGAGTCATTTGTTGATTTACTGGTTACAGACCAGCTGATAACAAAAAGTGAGTCACCCGTCTTAACTCTTTCATTCCCAGACATTTGTTACTTTAGTCTGCTTTATCCCAGTTATTAGAGTAATAAATGTTGTGTCTAAAGGAGTTACTAAAATAATAAACATATTTGGCAGAAATTATGGATGTAACACTAGGGATAGAATTGGTTAATATAAGCAGTATTAGAAATGGATTTAAGGAAAAATACTATGTATATCCACCAGTAAACACATGGTGAGTTGCTTGTCACTGAATGAATGAATGAATCAAGAATTGACAATACTGCACTTGAGACATTCTTAAATGTTCTGCTTTCGCCTCCCTAACGGCCAACAAATAGAGTGCCTATACTGATGATGCCTGTTGCATCCTGATTTAAAGTTCCCCTGTGAAAAGAAAGTTATCTAGACTCTCTGTTAACTCCCCAGCTGAATCATTCTCTCTAAATATGGATGCTGTGCCTGTTCTGTTGCACTGTTCACTTCATCATCACATCTGCTTTAGCATAATGTATCTCATGACCCAGAGGGGCGGTAGCAACCTGTCTATGAGCCTGCTCATTACCACGCACACCAAAATATCTTGGGCAAAACATCAATGATATGTATCTGATTTGAGTCTTACAAGGTGATGCATGCCACTCTAATCACAGCACACCAGTTTCTGTTTTCTGAAACATGCTTTTTTTTGCAAGTTCATTATAATTACATGTTGGATTTCTACTCTTCAGCCATCAGAAAGCTGCCTTGACTGCTTCCACCTCCATTCTCAAGCTAGGTGTTGTGATTTTGTATGCTATTTTTTTTTTAAACAACTTTAATTTTCCTTGAGTTGAGTTGAGTCAAGAATTTACATCACAGCATTCAGGGCATTCCCATGTGTGCTCCATCTCCATCTTCAGCAGCATAGTTCTAATTTTTCTCTGCAAGGTAATCCTATTCACTCTTTTTAACTTCATTCATTCAGTAGCATGTCCCTCGCGGAACCTCGCTGCCATAACAACCCTCCGGAAAACCTTCCTATCATGAGCAAGATGTCCTGCGTCTGATACACCCATCTGGAGATCATCTGCCACATCCTGCACCCATCTTCTCCTTGGCCTTCCTCTTCCTCTCTTCCCAGGCATATACCCCTCCATTATTGTTCTCTCTAGACCTCCATGACGTTTCAAGTGACCAAAATATTTCAATTTTCTTTGTTTTATTGTCTTTACTAGCCAACCCTCTTCAATATTCAGCTCTTGAAGTATGGATGCATTTGTTCTTTTCTTTACCCAAGATATTCTTAGAACCTGTCTGTAACATTTATATTCAAATGCATTTATGCGCTGTTCCGCTTGTTTAGTAAGTGTCCAGGTCTCACAGGCGTATGTTGCAATGGGAAAGATGCATGCTCTTAAAAATCTGACCTTTGTAATTCTATCTGTACAATTCCATAATTTATTCAGTTGTTTTAGTCACTACAAATCCTCACAATGTATATATTGATATCACCTGAGCAAGAATTTTCAGTGATCAGTTTTTGAACCAGTGTGTGTGTTTTCTTAGCTGTCCATTCTGACCACCTCAGTCCAACGTAACTATCACTCTGTGCAGGGCTTTCTTGCTGGCTGGCACTGTCATCCATTCCTCACCATGTACTGTCTTGTCTGTTGCACACATTTCTGATTGCGGTTTCAGCTGGTGCCATCCACGGGCCACCCCTCTTCATCCTGTGCCCCTTGGTATCCCTCAGTGTTTCATGCTGAAGGTGTTCCCTGTCAGCTATGGCTTTGAGGTACATTTGTGCATGTTACACCCAGTATCTTTCAATTACAGAGGGCAGGGCAAGTATGTCGCAAGCACACGATTGTTTTTTCCTGTGTACAGGCACCTTGTACTAGATTCATTGAGAAACAGCAAATCAAGTGGTTTGGCCATCTCATTAGAATGCAGCAAGATCAAATACCATCACAAGCACTACATCTCAGAAGATCAACTACAAGAGCAAGAGGACGGCCGCAGAAAACATGGATCGACAACATTAAAGACACTCTACGCCTTCACGGCATGACAATAGCCAGTGGCAGCCAACGTGCACTAGATCGCAAATTATTCCTCCCCACGACGCTTAATGGCAGAAGTGGTTTATGATGATGATGATGATGATGACAGTCCAGAATGACTCACTAAATGAGTTAACAACACAGAGTTTAGCTACTTCTTCTTACTGATTAATCTGAACCATACCCTGTTCAGTCCCTCTAGATTACAGTCTTTCTGTCAGCATCATTGGATTCGTTCACGCCGAATGGCCGAACAGTTTCAATCTGTTTCTGAATAAGTTTGTTGATCTTTATTCTTCCAATTTGTTCTAATCTCTTCATTTTTCAGATGATGTAATTTTTCTGGTGGTTAGTTTTCTCTCTTGTTATTTTCTTAATGTCCAAGCCTGACACCGATAATCCAAACTTGGATTAAAGATTTTATTTTATATGTGTTTTTTATGCTTTCTCCTTTTTCTGTGTTGTGAGAATCATAATGATGTAATTGTTATTGTGTTTACTTATCATGTCAGTGGTCTGAATTCACCTAGTCTCCTGCTATAGTTGCAGACCATGAAGACTAACCCAGACAACAAATGCCTGCAAAAGTTGGATTTGTCAGCCAAATATTGTGCAAATATTGTTTTAAACGCATTTACAAACTCGCTTAAATGAAGAAGAAGATATACCATGGATACAGGATAATTTTCCACCTCAGATGAATGAAGAAGATACCATGGATACAGGATAATTGTCCACCTCGGATGAATGAATGAGAAGAAGATACTATGGATACAGGATAATTTTCCACCTCGAGGGAACGAAGAAGAAGATACCATCCATACACGATCATTTTTCAACTTCGGATAAACAAAGATGAAGAAGATATCATCGATGCAAGATTTTTTTTTTCAGCCCGGATGAACGAAGAAGAAGAAGATGCCATTAATACAGGATAATTTTCCACCTCAGATAAATGAAGAAGAAGATAAGATGCCATTGATGCATAAATAATTTACCACCTCGGATGAAAGAAGAAGTAGAAGATATCATTAATTCTGGATAATTTTCCACCATGGATGAACAAAGAAGATACCACTTATACAGGATAATTTTCCACGTTCGGATGAACAAAGAAGATACCACTTATACAGGATAATTTTCCATGTTCGGATGAACAAAGAAGCAAAAGATACTACTTATACAGGATATTTTTCCACATTCAAATAAACAAATAAGATACCATTGATACAGGATAATTTTCTACCTTGGATGAATGAAGAAGTAAACACCATTAATACAGGATAATTTTCCACCTCAGATGAACGGAGAAGAAGACGATACCTTTGATACAGGGTAATTTTTCTCCTCAGGAGAACAAAGAAGCAGAAGAAGATACAGCTGATACAGGATAATTTTCCACCACGGATGAGCGAAGAAGAAGATACGGCTGATGCAGGATAGTTTTCCACCTCAGGTGAACGAAGAAGAGGAAGATACTGCTGATACAGGATAATTTTCCACCTCAGATGAATAAAAAAGAAGAAGATACCGCTGATACGAGATAATTTTGCACCTCAGATGAATGAGGAAAAAGAATTTACCATTGATAAAATTAATTTGACAATGCATATATTTGAAGCAGTATTTTCCTTGTAAATTTAAATAATATAGCACAAACTGTACATAGCATAATTTATGACTGTGTTACATTAACTGAAAATGAGGCACAAAAATGAATCCCTTTCATTGGAATACAAAATCATATTTTCATTGTACAGTTTGACTATGCATTCGCAAGTATCCTGACAATGTGACTGTAGCATTGTTAACATTTTTCATCTTTATTGTTCTTTTACTGCGAATGTATTTGTCTGGCTATAAATACAATTGTTTCCTTATTTAAGGCCAAGATGAGATTGCAGATTTCTTTAAGGTGAATGAGTCTCAAAAACTGGCACAGTTTCATGGTGAGTGCTTTAAATTATTTTTTTTCCCTTTTTGTTCTTTTGTTAGCAGTAACTGTTGCACATAATAATGCCAATTATAATATACTCAACATAAAGCATGGATAACACCAGAAACCATTAAACTGATTGAAGATAGGACAAGTAAAAAGGCAGACTTATTAAACAATAGCAAAACTAGAGCTGCTAAAGCCAGAGCTCAGGAGAATTACACAGAAGCCAACAAGGAAGTTAGGAGGCATATAAGGGCAGATAAAGTGAAATATCTAAATGATCTAGCACAAGAAGCGGAGACAGCAGCACCAAAGGAAACCTCAGAGAACTTTACAGTAACACAAGAAAATTAGTAGGTAAATATAGTCAGCCAACTGGATCAATCAAAAATAGTCAAGGAAAGGTACTTACTAACACTAAAGATCAAATAGACAGATGGGTTGAATATTTTGAAATGCTTCTAAATAGACCAGGCCCAGAGGTTCCTCCAGATATCCAGCCTTTAGAAATGGAACTGGATATCAACTGTGAGATACCATCCAAAGAGGAAATTAGAAAAGCTATAAATCTTCTCAAGGAAGGAAAGGCGTCAGGCCCAGATGGTATCCCAGTTGAAGCCATCAGGACCAACATAAACACATCAACAGAATTGCTACATAGATTATTCAGTAAAGTCTGGGAGACCAAAGAAATACCAGCAGACTGGAGAGAAGGATATCTTGTGAAACTGCCCAAAAAAGGTGATCAACAGGAGTATGAAAACTATAGAGGAATTATGTTGCTGTCAGTTCCTGGAAAAATATTAAGTAGAATTATTTTGGAAAGATTAGAAGATGCTATTGATAAAATGCAAAGAGATGAGCAGGCAGGTTTTCGGTCAAACAGATCCTGTACTGATCAGATAGCTACATTACGTATTATAATAGAGCAAAGCATTGAACTAAACTCACCACTTTACATTGGATTTATAGACTATGAAAAAGCATTTGACAGCATTGATAGGGAATCTCTCTGGAAATTGATGGGGCACTATGGAATCCCACAGAAAATTATCAACTTAGTAAAGGCAACATATAAAGACATGAAATGTCGAGTTCTTCATGAGGGAAAGCTAACAGATGCATTTGAAATAAAAACAGGTGTGCGACAGGGATGTCTTTTGTCGCCTCTCTTATTTTTACTGGCCATAGACTGGACTATGAAAACAGTAACTGCTAACACCAAGAATGGAATTCAGTGGACCCCTACAAAACAGCTTGATGATCTGGACTTCGCTGATGATATTGCTCTTCTGTCCCATTCACGGAATCAGATACAAGATAAATTACTTAATGTGAGATCACAGCAGCTTGGTCTGAAAATCCATAAAGGAAAGACAAAGATAATGAGAATAAATCAGGCAAATAGTAATGTGGTTTCTCTTAATGGCACCCCACTCCAAGACGTGGAGTCGTACACCTATTTAGGCAGTAATGTAGATAAAGATGGAGGAACTGATAGAGATATTAAAATAAGAATACAAAAGGCAAGAGGGGCTTTCATAGCACTAGGGAATTTGTGGAGGTCAAAAGAAATTAAAAGAAATACGAAACTAAAAATTTTTATTTCTAATGTCAAATCAGTACTATTGTATGGGGCGAAAACATGGAGAACAACCAAGGCAATTACTAATAAATTACAGACATTCATTAACTAGTGCCTGCGCAGAATAGAGGGAATAAAATGGTATGATAGAATAACTAATGTAGAACTTTGGGAGAGAACTAAACAGGCTCCAGTGGATTCCAGAGAAATTTGACTGAAAGCTCAACAAAATGGGAAAGAGGAAAACGTGCACAAAACAACACAACGTAACGTTTCGGCCGGGCAGCCTTTTTCAAACACAAGTGAAATACACAAACGAGGAATGGAGAGTATGTAGATCTCTAAGGGGTGACGTGAGCGACGTTTAAAAAATGTGATGCGGAATAAATGAAATAAAATAAAATAAACGGTGGCTAAAAAATATAGTCACAATACTGGGAATAAAAGAAATGCAAGTGTTAATGATACATAAATGATATTGATAAGAAATAGAATATGGTAATAATATGAAATAAAATAAAATAATTAACATTTAAAATGTGATAAGATTAGAACTATTTAGATGAAGGTATGTTGGATATTGATACCTCTTGGACTAAGAACGCCAAGGCTGTGGATAAGGCGATTTTCCAAAGCGAGGCAGGTAGTATGATCGCCAGAGCAAGATTTTAATGCTGTGACAGATATGTCATCTTTACCGCTGTGGTCAGGGCTATTAAAATGAAGAGGGATTGGTTTGAGTGTCTTCTTGTCGATATCAGAGAGTTGTTCCCAGAAACGATCAGCTAGCTTCCTGCCAGTCTCCCCAATGTATACCTTGCTGCATCGTTTGCAGATAATTGCATAAATTACGTTGCGGGATTCGCAAGTAAAAGGTTCCCTAATTTGAAAAGAACCATTAGGGAAACTGACCGAAGAAGTCTGAACAACGAAAGGACATGTTTTGCAGGTGCTGCGTGAGCACTGAGTAGTCCCAAGAGGAAGTGCTGTGGGAGTCGGCTTCGGACAAGTATGTCTTTAAAGTTGCGATCTCATCTGTAAACTAATCTAGGTTTCTCACTAAAGATAATCTTGGTGTCCGGATCAGAGCGGAGGATGTCCAAATGACAAAAGAATACTTTGGAAGCAACCACATTGTTAGGGTGAAAAGTCAAGATCAATTTAGGTCTATCATTGGTGGAATTACGTTTGGTAGGAAAAGCATCTCTCCTGGTGATTGCTAAAACTTTGTTTAGAGCCCCTTGTAGAATGTGTTCCGGATAGAAACGGGCACGGAAGAATTCAAGAAGTTCAACTGATTTATCAAAGAAGTCAGAATCGTCAGAGCACAACCTGCGCAATCGAAGGAGCTGTGAATATGGAATAGAATTTTTACACGGTAGTGGGTGAGAAGACGTATAGAGGAGATAACTGTGAGAATCCGTGGGTTTGTAGTAGGCTGTGGTTTTCAGACATGGGAAATCGATGCTAATCGTGATGTCAAGAAAGTTAACTGAAGTGGTGGAGATCAGTGAGGTGAATTTGATAGCCGGATTGAAATTGTTGATGTAAGTAATAAATTGGTCAAGCTCAACCATGGACATTTCGGTGATACCAACGCCATCATCTATATATCTCCTATACACCTCCGGAAACTTGCCCGGGTATGATAAACTGACCTCGTATTCCAGGTGGCCCATAAAGAGGCACACGTAACTAGGACCCATCTTGGTGTCCATCGCAACCCCACTGATAAGTGCTGATCCAGTTGATCAGGAGGTGAGGAAAAGACGCTGGCGTTGGGTAGGGCACACACTGAGAAAACAGGAGAACAGCATAACTAGAATGTCTTTGCATTGGAACCCACAGGGGCATAGGAATAAAGGAAGGCAAAAAAAACACATGGAGAAGAGAGCTGGAGAATGAGGTTAGAAAGATTGGGAGGACATGGGGAGAGCTCCATGCAATGGCGAAGGATAGAGCGACTTGGCGTGAGTTAGTTGAGGGCCTATGCTCCATTGGGGGATAGAAAGGCAGAAGAAGAAGAAGATAATATACTTAGTTAAACCACCGACTACCACGATCTCACATTATGTGATCAGGTGACATTTATGCCTGGGTACCATGATTGCACCCTTGCAGTCGTAACTTTGGAGGCTCCCCGTCATGTAAAATCACAATTTTTGTGATGAATTTTGTTGAAGCCTTAGCCCATTCATTTCTCTATGTTTCTATAAGGGAAATCTCTGTAGTGCTTATAGTAAGTGTGATGAATTTTGTTGAAGCCTTAGCCCATTCATTTCTCTATGTTTCTATAAGGGAAATCTCTGTAGTGCTTATAGTAAGTGTGATGAATTTTGTTGAAGCCTTAGCCCATTCATTTCCCTATGTTTCTATAAGGGAAATCTCTGTAGTGCTTATAGTAAGTGTGATGAATTTTCATTGTAAGCTTCCATGTTGAGGGGGAGGGGGGGGGCCTTATCCATTAGTAAGTTCCTGTGGTATTTATATTTTTAGTTTTTTATTCTCTTTTGCTAATGAAGCTAGAAGGTTTTTTGTTTTTTTTTAACTCTTTGTAGAGTTTTTGCCAGTTAACTGGCGTTTGAATTTATCCTGATCGGACTATTGACTAGTATACTGGCGCTTCATAGAGACATTCTAATTTTGTTCTGTTTGCTGGGAAAACGAATTTTTATAAACTTTTTTGAAAAACTAGGATTAGCAACAGGAAGCCCTTTCGTTTTCTGAAGTTGGCGGAGTGTTTGTATCACTTTATGATTTGTAAAAAATTATTTAGATGCGATACCATTTTTATGTGATTTTTCTATATCAGATGATTAAGGAAAAGGTTCCTTCTGCTCTGTCGTTGTTGAATCTCAGCCAGATTGTGTCAGTAGTCTTGATATAATGATTGATAATGTCATGAGCCAAATCTGTGTCGATAAATAGATTATTGGATGAAGGCTGGACAAAATATTTCAAATAGATCATCTGTTTTGATCAGCTGTTTTCCCAGTTTCAGTTTTTGTGAAATCTGACATGTCATACAGAAATGGTCATAAAATCTTAAGGATTTAAATTAATTGTTTCAATAAAGACTAGCTGTTACATAAATAAACAAAGAAGGCATGTGAATTCTTAGAAATGGAAAGTGTTGCTGAACAAGTAAAAAATGTGGTAAGCACACAATTTTTTATGTAAATAATCTTCATATATGTCTAACATCCTTGATTGTTGTGTGATTTTAATAACATTTTGTTGTAATACTATAATTTAAATAGTTAAGATTTATTCTGCACTCATTTATCTTTAATTTGATATGTTATATGTCCTGATACAGCCAATACGTTTTCTTCAAAAAGGTTTTAGCTTGGTCATGTTGCAGTAAACAAATTCCGCTTAAAATAATTACTGTCCAAATCTCCCCAAAAATATGGTCCTGGAAGTTTAAGTGTTTTATGTTGCTTCTGGCACGTGTCTGCTCACACAATTTAGACAGTGTCCATTTTTGGGGCTGGCAGTAGAATGTTGGAGGGGGAAAAGTAAAACCAGCTAATTACAGACATAAAAAGTTGCATAACAGTAGTCAGTACTACCGGTTCTCTTTTAACACAGAATGTTGTTGCATATACCAAACCTGACATCTTGCATTGTGCCAATAGCTGTGGGCAGAGAAGTGCATTGGGAGGAATACTGGCCTTATCCTATAAAGAGGGAATGCAGCCTGGAAACTTTTATGTTGTCGCAGGACACACCAGGCCCTTAGTCTAGGAAGCTCCAACAGACGCACAGACAGCTGTTCTGAGCCGGCAGCTTCTGTAGCCTGCTTTGTTCCAAACACTGATGTTACCTCTTCTTTGAAGTAAACAAAGCAGGCAGAGAGGGGGATTCCAGTTGTGAATGCAAATGCATGGTCTCTGCAATACTGCCCAGACTTTGTGCTATGGAGAGGAAGTATTGTCATGGTCTGTGATTCTCATGCCTTACAGCACTATCATCATGAAGAGAGTTGTAGTTAACACTTGGTGCTTTGTTTTTTGTTTTTTTAGGATTTCAGGGCACAAAGTTGCTGGAAGTTACACAGTGCACTCTGAGTGCCCGAGCAGAAGTCATGATATGCCAGTTTGTATTAAAATGCCAAGCGTTGGAAACATTATGTGTCAGTAATAGCATTAGCCGAGTCATTTTACAGACAGTACTCAAGTCTATGTCCAACACAAGTGAGTGATTCTCCCTCTGGTCTGTAGTAAGAAAGGTAACTGATTTAGTTCCACGATAGTTCTCCCCCCCCCCCCCCCCCCAGAGAAACTTGGTCACGTCCCATTGATGACTTTTTTGGACTGGTCTGCTGTCTGGGGGGAGGGGGGGGGGTATGGGTTTGCCACTGTTTGTTTGCTTTCTGGCTTGTCTTGCATTTATGTTTTTCTTCCGAGAAAGAGAATGCCTGTGACATAGCTAGCAGCACTCTCTAGGGGGGTTGTGTATTAGACCCAGTTTAGACCCAGACAAGCCAGAAAGCAAACAAACAGTGGCAAACCCATAAAGGTAACTGATTTAGTTCCACGATAGTCCCCCCCCCCCCCCCCCCCCCCCCCTCCCCCCAGAGAGAACTTGGTCACGTCCCATTGATAACTTTTTTGGACTGGTCTGGGGGGGGGGGGGGGGGGGGGTTATGGGTTTGCCACTGTTTGTTTGCTTTCTGGCTTGTCTTGCATTTACGTTTTTCTTCCGAGAAAGAGAATGCCTGTGACATAGCTAGCAGCACTCTCTAGGGGGGTTGTGTATTAGACCCAGTTTAGACCCAGACAAGCCAGAAAGCAAACAAACAGTGGCAAACCCATAAAGGTAACTGATTTAGTTCCACGATAGTCCCCCCCCCCCCCCCCCAGAGAAACTTGGTCACGTCCCATTGATAACTTTTTTGGACTGGTCTGGGGGGGGGGGGGGTTATGGGTTTGCCACTGTTTGTTTGCTTTCTGGCTTGTCTTGCATTTACGTTTTTCTTCCGAGAAAGAGAATGCCTGTGACATAGCTAGCAGCACTCTCTAGGGGGGGTTGTGTATTAGACCCAGTTTCTAAATGTTTTTGTAGTTTAAAAAGCGCTGGCGTGCTTAAATATACAACATGAGATATCAATGGCATTGTTGAACACCCCCTCCCCTAGCAGTGTGCAAAGGTTGGGTCTCAGAGTCGATCAATCAGAAGGGAGCTAGTGTGTAAATGGGCAGTCTCTGGGGGTGATTATAGTGGAACTAACCGGTAACTTATCTGTACCAAGCAACAGTAATTTAACCTTCAATCACATTTTTATGAAACAGAATCAGTTAATTTCTTTTTCCCCTCAGTTTCTAGAAAACAAAGCTAATGAATATTTCTTTTAAATCTATAGTGTGCACACACACTCACAAATCAGCAGTTAACATTTCCTTCAGCTCTGTTTCAAAGTTCTAAAGCAAACAAAAGTACTTGTTTCACATTACTTGCAAAGATAATTCATATTTCTTTTAAATTCCTGGCAAACAAGTAATTAATCAATCTTTCTATTAAATTTGTAGCAGTTCAGTTATCAATAGTAATCACTGCTTCTGTTAACTTTATAGATGTCTTTGTTTGGGGTGAATTAAAACTGAAGTACCCAGATGGGTTGTTTAAAAATAAAATAGATATATACACAGACATAAAACACACAAATTCAATCTTATGTATGTGTAATTATTATACATAGTGTGGAAAATGCGCAATGTGTACTCTGTTGCATCGCTTCCTTGAAATTTTTTACCCTGCCAGGGTAGTTAGCTTTCTTTATTTACAATTTTTTTTTTTTTTTGGTCATAAATACGGATGGTTGTAAGTTAAGGAGAAGATGTTTTTAGTATAAACACAAGCAGCCCACTACAGATGCTATGGAGATTGGGTTATATGTCAGTTGTTAAAAGAAAGAAATGTTTAACACACAAAAAACAGATCTGTGAAACATGTTAGTCACATTAAGTGACCAGGAAATCTTCTAGAAAGTAAAGGCAGCTGATGAAATGTTAACCACATTAGCCATCCAATGCTGATTAGTCTGCAAAAACATGGGTCTAGCACTGAATGACCCTTGTGTAGTATGAGGTACTATAGATCTATACCTAACATTCTATGCTGACATTGTACTCAGAAATATTTTTGTGCACTCACACACCCTATGACGTCTGGCATACTTACATACATACATACATACATACATACATACATACATACATACATACATACATACATACATACATACATACATACATACATACATACATACATACATACATACTTACATACATACATACATACATACATATATACATACATACATACTTACATACATACATACATACATACATACTTACATACATACATACATACATACATACATACTTACATACATACATACATACATACATACATACATACATACATACATACTTACTTACATACATACGTACATACATACATACATACGTACATACATACATACATACATACATACATACATACATACTTACATACATACATACATACTTACATACATACATACATACATACATACATACACACACACACACACACACACATACATACATACATACATACATACATACATACATACATACATACATACTCAAATAAGTTAGCACACATCATGCACCAGAGACCAGAAAAAGGTCCTTGACTTGCAATTCCCATATGTGTTTTTTTTAGGCTTTTTTTTTTTTTAGCATTCGCAGGGCAAAAAAGTTAATGGTGGGTTTGGTTCCTGAAAGAAGAGGCAGGAGAATGACATTCCGCAAAGGGCTTGATGTTTTCTAAGAACAGAAAAAAAAAAGAAGTATAAAAAAAGATTCTGACATTAGAAACATTAATAAAAATTAACCAAACCATGATTCGATATTGTAGTTCCATTATTGATTGTTTATTCAGTGCTTTATTAATATCGTACCCCAAACAGGGAAAATCCACAGGTCATGGGACAGTCTAACATTTCAGGGGGTGGTAGATAGGCTGCATGCAGTCGTGGGACATAGGCTGCTCTCTCTCGTGGGACGTAGGTGGTATGGGGTTAGGGCCAGTTCTAGATGTTTTGGGGTCGTTAAAAACATCCGAAAGCCGGAAAACCCAGTCTTACCACCCTCTAAAATGTTGGACTGTCCTGTGACGTCATCTGAGGAAGGATATTAATAAAGAAACATTTATTCTGTTTTCAGTCAGGCCTCTGAACAGCCTCATCCTGGAGGATTGGCATATTTTGAGAGATGCCAGCTGTGAGGCTCTCATTAGTTTGCTACGCTCAGTGTCCCCATCACTGCAAACTTTAAGCCTCAGGGGTTGTGTAACAGTGGATGGAAGCATCAATTTTAAAGGTAGTCATATCACTCACTGGTGTTTGCCTAACTGTATCGGTTATTCTTGCCAAGACTTAAGACCAACATTTGTGAATAAAACTGATTATCCAGTTCATGTCTGGTAAATAAAAGGAAAGAGTGACAGACACTGATGGATAAGTGAAGAGAAAGCCAAATGTTCAGTGTTCTCTTTTTAAAATAAAGAACATGAAATTAGTATTCAATACTAAAAATCTGTACCTGGGTGAAAACTGCATGTGACCAAGGTATCACATTTAATCATGCTTGATATGAAAGACACATATCTCAAGAAATCAACCAAGGACAGCAGCGAAGAGTGGCAGCCATATAATAGCTTACTACCTTGGTGGCTTCAGTAACTTTTCAAGAATATGTTTTGGACAAGTGAATGCAGTTTTGCTTTTGGACAAGCATATATATTATCTGCACCAACACTTGACTCAAACATACTGACTGCACCCATAAATGCTGTAGAAAATGAGATCACAGGAAACCATCAGAACACAAATGTGTGCTGATGAATGGCTACAGGACAGTTATCAAGCAACTTGACATAAGAGCAGTCCCATAGGGACCAGATCAGGAATTCAAAAGAGTTGGTAAGGCTTCATTCACATAAGATGTTCGAGCCACTATGCTTTCTTTTTGTTTCAATAGTTCTTATAGTGTCATGTATATGATATTGTTTCCATAGTTCTTATAGTGTCATGTATATGATATTGTTTCAATAGTTCTTATAGTGTCATGTATATGATATTGTTTCTATAGTTCTTATATTGTCATGTATATGATATTGTTTCAATAGTTCTTATAGTGTCATGTATATGATATTGTTTCTATAGTTCTTGTAGTGTCATGTATATGATATTGTTTCAATAGTTCTTATAGTGTCATGTATATGATATTGTTTCAATAGTTCTTATAGTGTCATGTATATGATATTGTTTCAATAGTTCTTATAGTGTCATGTATATGATATTGTTTCTATAGTTCTTGTAGTGTCACTGTTTTTAATTATGTCTATTCTTCCTGGCATTCATTGTCTGTAAACTCTGGCAGAAATTTATGGTTTTTTTATTCACTTCTGAACTTTGGTTTTATTCCAGAACTTGAGTTTTTATATGTACGTCTGTTTTACAAATAATGAGTATCCATATGTTCATCATCATCATATATCAGGTCCTTTGCAGAACATCGCTCTCCTCGCGGTCTGTCTGAAACAAACTCGGTCTCTTGCCTGCTGTCTAGGCTCATGCACTTTCATATTTAAAAGGTCACTAATTTCTTGTGCCCATCTTCATGTCGGTCCCTTCCCCTCCTTCCTGGTAACATGACTTCTGCTATAATTTTTTTTTAAATCCTTCATGTCACTTGATATGACCAAAATTATTGCAGCTTCCCAGACAAGATGCTGTTTATTAGCCAATCTTCCTTGATGTTCAGATTGTTTAAAATGTCAGTATTTCTTCTCTTCTTTGTCCATGGTATTCTGAGAATCCATGTGTTACCTTATCAGATAAACACTAACTGTTTGTAGGATTTTATTTTTTGGTCAGTGTCAGAGTATGGTAGGTGAGTAAGGCTTATTTTCATTTTTATCTATTTGGCAAAATGAAAGATATTGATCTGACAAGTTGTAGAGAAAGAGCTGCCACACACTGGGATGGTACAGTTAGTTCACTTAATTTGTACAGCAAATTGTTTAACAATACTTTTTTTTTTATTATATCGTCTTGTTTATGATGACAATTATGTGATGTTCTATTATTCTGTCTACTTATAGATATTATTGAAAGTGTGGCAGCTTGCAAGAACCTTAAGCAGATTGATATTTCTGAGAATAAATTAGGTATGTCTGCTGTTTGTGTTTTTATTTTGCTGCTTTGCTTCATCTTGTGTGTGCATGCATCTAGTACATATGTGTATGTTTGTGTGTGTGTATGCATTTAGTATATAGGTGTATGTTTGTGTGTGTGTGTATGCAAGTAATATATAAGTGTATGCTTGTGTGTGTATGCATGTAGTATATAGGTGTATGTTGTGTCTGTGTATGCATGTAGTATATAGGTGTATGTTTTGTCTGTGTATGCATGTAGTATATAGGTGTATGTTTTGTCTGTGTATGCATGTAGTATATATGTGTATGTTTGTGTGTGTGAATGCATGTAGTATATGGGTGTATGTTTCTGTGTGTGTGTGTATGCATGTAATATATAAATGTATGTTTGTATGTAGTACACAGGTGTATGTTTTTGTATGTGTGTATGTATGTAGAATATAGGTGTATGTGTGTATACAAGTAGTATATAGGTGTATGTTTGTGTGTGTGTGTGTGTGTATACATGTAGTATATATATGTGTGTGTGTGTATGCATGTATGTAGTATATAGGTGTATGTTTGTGTGTGTGTTTATGCATGTAGTATATAGGTGTATGTTTTTATGTATGTGTATGCATGTAGTATATAGGTGTATGTGTGTGTGTATGCATGTAGTATATAGGTGTATGTGTGTGTGTATGCATGTAGTATATAGGTGTATGTTTTTGTGTATGCATGTAGTATATAGGTGTATGTTTGTGTGCATGTAATATACAGGCGTGTGTTTTTGTGTGGGAGTATGCATATGCTATTTTTAAATTATGCATTCAGGTGTCTAGGCATATGTATGATGAGCATGTAATCTGTCACGTGTCTGTGTTCCTTGCTTTTAAATGTGCTTATGCTTTTAACATTAATAAAATTAAATATAGAGATAATGTGAATGTTGGGTGGTTACAAAAACACAGATTTATGTGACCTGAATACTTTTAATATAAATTTATGGGGGGTTCCCTGTGTGGGTTCTGGTGGAGAACACAAGAACAGATCCACTGCCTAGCCAAAATCATGTCACAAGAGTCGACTAATTGGGAGCTTCCTTCAGATTCAAAGTGCATCTGCCTGAGATGCAAGGAACCAACAGCCTGCAGACACATGAGCTTATTTGTGTGCAGACTTGTTGTTGTTTACCTCTCAGGCAGATTCATTACAACCTCAAAGTAAATGTTGATCCTGTCTACATTAGCCAGGCCCCCAGTTGGGTTTCTGTTTCTAGGATGACCACGGAGAGGTGTAGATAGGTCTGGACCAGTGTGGGCTCTTTCCTAGAGCACCGCCTCATGTGGTTCAGCACCTCTGCATCCCTTATATACACTAATTGGCACTTGGTGGGTGATGGGGGTGAGCATTATACTGGCATTCTTTACATCCAAGGGCATTTCCTTGTAATCGTTTTAGACTAGGTTGTCCTAAGAGCCCAGATCAGTTGTAAAATATCCAATGTGGTGCAGATTCAAAACCACGACCTTCAGGAGAGCAGGCAAGTGCACCTCCACATCTCTCCTCAATCTTTTTCTCCTTCTTCATTGGCATTTCAAGCCCTTCAGGTACATTGCTACAGATATCACTAACCTTCATTATCTCTGTCACCAACCTTCTATTTCCAGTTAGTGACTCCAGGTGTTTTTAGATCTGCCTGTATATTATCTCTCCACTGTTTTCTTGGTCTGTGTCATGGTCTACAACCATTTAACTCTTTTTTTTGGGCTCAGTTTTTGTCTCTCTGTTATCTGCCATTCTCTCTTTCTGACCCAGTTTCTTCATTAGCCTTCCTGATGCCAGTAATGAGTGATATTGAAACAGATTATGAATTTCATTATTGCTTCTTACTCTCCATTCCATTCTGTCTGCATCTTTGATGGGTCCATAGATTCGTTATAAGACTGTTTTTTTAAATGTGTAATAACGCTTCATCTCTTTTAGTTGTATTCCAGATAACTGATGAATATATTACAAAAATACCTGTTCTCTGCTGTATCATTCAGGAAATGAAGGCATCCAGTTTGTCACAAGAATTCTAGAGAACACAAATGTTGCTGAGCTTAGTTTAAGGCAAGTATTATTTCATTCTGCAGTAATAATTAAATTACACATCAGATTCTTAGTCTCTGGGTCATGTGGGGAAATACCCACATGGAGTGAAATTAGCCACATATAGAAGTGGCTGACTCTGCTAACATTCTTGTATTATACCCGGTGAAAGTAGCTACAGATAGAAATAGCTAATGGTTGTTGGGATACATATACTAAACCTAGTGGAACTGACCATAAACAGAAGTAGCTGACTGCTACTGGAATATTTTACTCATTGAAAGTTGCCACATTTAAAAATTGCTAATGGTTGTTGTAAAATGTAAATTATATCCAGTGGAACTAGCCACACACAGAAATAGGAAAGTGCTGGTGGAAAGCTTGTACTATGGGACAAAAAAAACTGAAGTAACAACTGGGATAGAATTGATTTATGTTACAGCCTGGTGGAGCACAGAAACACCAAAGAAAGAAAAATTAGAACTGCAATAAATCTCTGGAGTGGGGAGGCCCTGAAAGAATGAACAGATGTATCTCCTTTATGGACTTTTTTCCAAGACAGATCAATTTCTGGCAGTAATTTTTTGTAAAACATCAGGGGGAAAAAAACAAATATTTTATGTATAGCAAAAGAACATCAAACAGTTGACATAAAGATAAAAGTTTAAAACAAGTTCCGCACATTAAATATTTGGGGAGCATCTTTAGACGAAGAAATTGAAACAAGAATCCAACAATGTTACTTACAGGCTGACCCAAATTTTCAAACACCCAGCTGTCCCAGTAGAGATAAGAGACAAATTATAAATGCAGTCTTCATACCAGTCTTGTACTGTCAATGTCAGACGTGGACATTGATTGAAGAATACAAAAAAACTTACACCGGCAAAATTGGATGTTTGAGAAAAAGCGTAAACAAAACTAGGAGAGATTATAAGACCTGTTGAAAAACGAACAACAATGACTTCAATGATTTAGTAATTCAATGAGAATGAATCCAGTGGTGCCAGAAATGAAAGCGTGCAAATGAAAGTAGGAACACCAAGAGGTAGCTGATGACCGAGAAGAAGATGGATTGAAGGAGTCAGGGATACCTTGAAACATCACAACATTCTGGACAACCAAGCATGCCCTAGTTCAGATACCGATCATCTGATAACCTGCAACACTTGGCAGAATAAGGAGAAATATGGACAAAAGAACAGATGCTTTGAATGGTTATCTGTCGGCAGATATCATTACTCACATTTATCTTCCTCTGTGGTCACACTTAAAAGGGTAGTTAGCACATTATATTGTGGTTTACAGCTAAGCTTTGGTGTCTGCCCCTTGGCTCAGCACTGCGTCTTAAAGTTCATGCTGTATGGCATTTGCAGTCTATCCACAACCTTCTGTCTCATGTACTTTCAGTCAGCTCTGACAAGATGATCCCCTATACCATGATGTCACACTGTCCAGCATCTGTTCTCTCAGTCTCCCTCTGCCTCTCCTTCCTCCAACTTTCCTACTGTTATGATGTACTCCAGTTTTCTCCTTCTCATCACATGTGCTTGACTCAGCACATAAGTTTAAATTTTTTTTTAATCTGAGTTAATTGCCTTTTTGACAGGCTTTGTAAGGCGCATTTGGTCTATTCTCCCTGCCACCCCCCTTTCTCTTAAATGGGGTCCCAGAACCCACCCAGAGAATTGCTGATACAAATGCTTGCATTGACACTTGACTGATGTTAAATGGCATGTTGAGACATTCCATTTAATGCTTTGGCCAATAATCCCCCAATCCTTAGTTCACTTTAATTCTCTGTATGGGTTCCAGGGCCCCATTTTTGTGTGGGCAGGGTGGTGGGGACTAATAGACCTGCTGCTGGTTAACAAGTATAACATAAAATAACACTAATTTAGTGTGTTTCCTTTGAAGTTCAGTTGCATCAGTTTGAGTTGTGAGGAACCAACAGTCTGCACACATATAAGCAAGATCAATAGAGTGAATGTGGAAATAAAACTCAAGTTCTGGAACAAGACCAGTGTACAGAAGTGGATGAACAACCAGAACTTTCTGCCTGGAGTTTACAGCTGGTTAATGTTAATAAGAAGAAATTCACCATAATAATAAGTGTTAGTACATAATAGTAAGTCAGTGTCTGGAGCTTAGGCGTTGCAAACAAGCTTGGTAATGCTGGGATGCCGAGTTCAATCCCAGCTATGGACAGTTTGTCTTTTGTTGGTTTTGATAGTAGTACTGATAGCGGACCCTTCAGGAAGGAGTGGCAAGCTACTGAACGTAAAATTTGCCTAGAAAACCACAACAGTCAAAAAATGCTGGCGCTGGTTCTGCAACGTTCTGTAAAAGATACGCAACTTTTTTTTAAACATAATAGTAACTGCTTTGATCACCTTTTGTATCTGTTGTAGTCATAGATTGCTTGTATTACTTCCTTGGTGAATGAATATAGTATTACAACTGTTATGGAGCAAAGCCCCATTGACACAGACTCACTTAAGATAAATGCTTGGTTAACGTGGACACAGTTTTGATCGTAGGAGAGAGGTATTATTCATAGTACATCTATTAGTCCTCTATTAATACATATTATTGTAACACAAACTCTTGATTTTTTTTTAATCCATTTGGAGTTCCCCTTAACAAGGTTTTACTGCACAGCTTTTCTCTTTTGCTGGATTGTGTTAGTTTGGTGAACTCTTTGTGCCTTGTCGTACCAGAATCTGCCCATACTTTATTGTAATCAGTCCCACATATTCCATGCATGGGTTATGGGGGGGGGGGGGGGGTAAATGACCTACTGCCTCTTAACAAGCCATGTCATATAAGATGACTAATTCAGGATTTGCTGAAATCTGATGTGTTGGGTCGAAAAGCACAGATACTACAACCCAGCTGTAATCAACAACACAACATGCTAGCCAACCTTTTAAAGGGGAAGACGGTAGAAAAAGAAGTTCCAGATTTGTTTTGTCTGCCTCCTAGCTGTTGGCCTACTTTTGGAAGTATATTAAGCAACTAACTTGTTGATCTTCTATTTTACAGGAGGAATGACATGTCCAAAGCAGCCATCTGCAGCATCATAAAGTCTAGTGTGGATATTATGAGGAAAAGAAGACCTCTCGATTTATTAGATCTTCGAGGAAATTGTTTCTCAGAAGACGACAGAAATCAGCAGCAAGCTTTACTTAAGGATGTGGCTCGACATGTGCTTGTTGATCCAAACAGTTCATGATAACATTGACTGATGGTGCTTAAATTGCCATGGGTCAAAAATGCGTGGAGAAGGGAGCTGGAGAATGAAGTTAGAAAGATGGGAGAGCTGCATGCAGTAGCAAAAGATAGAACGATTTGGCGTGAGTTGGTTGAGGGCCTATGCTGTATTGGGGGCTAGAACAGCAGACAAAGAATAACTTATCATGGGTCAGTTCACAGCCTCACTTTGAGTCTAGGTCTGAAACAAGGATTAATGTTGTTAACATGTGCTTGTTGATACAGACATTTCCTGGTAACATTCTTTGATAGTACCTAAAGGGTAAATTCAAAGTCTGTCTCTAACTCTAGGTTTCAAATATTGGTTGATACTAGATAAGTTGTCACAGACTGAATTGAACCTAGGTTCAGAGCATTAGCTGAAAGTGCATCACTTATTATGAGTCTAAAACATTGATTGATAGTAGATAATTTTTCATAAGTCTGTGCACTGTGTTGAGCCAGGGTACCAAAGATATTGGTGGTGTGTAGATATTTAGTCACAAGTCACTTCACAGCCTGCCTTTAACCTAGGCCCTACAAACATTCAGAAAGTCAACACAAAATGTCCTCAGTTATTTCAATACAGGGTACCATGTGAGCCTACACCTCCAAAAACTAGCATACTAAAAGGCAACCAAAGCATAATTTTGTTTTAACCTTTGTATTTGTCATGGATCATTTCATTGCAGATGTGATAAAAGTTCTATTTGAGAATTCTCTACACAAATCAGCTGCTGGTTTTAAACATAAAATTCAGCCTGGAATATTGTTATAGCTGTCGTTGTGAAAAAAAACCAGAATAAAGTAGAAATGTCTTGAAGTAAACTCTCTTATACTCTGTGTTATTTCCAGGCTTATGTGTGTAGCATCACTTTTTAGTATTCATTTTTTTTTTAACATTGACTATTCAAAGTGGTCATATAACTGTTGCTTTTATTCTTATATTTCTTCTCGTTTAATGTATTATCACAAGTTTTGCAATGCATTTTAGCCCTGTAAGAAACATGAATGGGTATTTACCAATAATGCAGCAATAAAGTGAATGATTTCTTGGAGAAATCCTGCCGCATGATGTTTTGGTTGTTGACTTTTAAATGAACTTAAGTCTTCTTCTTCTTTCTTTGCGTTCACCGGCTGTAAACTCCGGCTGAAAGTTCTGGTTGTTCGTCCACTTCTGGACTGCAGTCCTCTTAATTCTAGAACCTGATTGTTGCATGTGCATCCGTTTGACAGATCTGACTAATTTATATGCAGACTGTTGGTTCCTTGCCTGTCAGGCAGATGCACTCCGACTTCAAAGGAAGCTCCCAATTAGTCGACTCTTACGACACGCTTTTGGGTAGGCAGTGGGTCTATTCTTGTTTTCTCTATAATAGGGCCTCGGAACCCACACGGGGATAAACTGAAGTGAATTAAAAGGTGAGGGGAAATGGTAGCATTGGGTATGAAAACACTGAGAAAATGTGATAACAGTATAGCTGGAGTGTCTGTACACTGGAACCCACAGGTTCAAGGATTTATAATCGGATCAGCAAAAACAAAACAAGAAGAGTACGAGAGAATGAATTGAAAAAGATTGGGGAGACGTGGGATGAGCTTCCCGTGATGGTAAAGGATAGCATGACTTAGCCTATTTAAGGATGAACGGCAGAAGAAGAAACTGTTAGCTTGATATCACTACAGCACTGACATATTGCTCTGAGATCACTTGTGTACACTGATATAATGATCTATCTGTATACGCTAGGCTGCATGAGGCTGGGTTGCAAATTATTATCTCCTTTCTATGGAGTCTTTAGTAACCAGTTTATGAGACTGAATTTTCTATAAAGTCATCTGGCTAAGTCAGCCTATAAATTCTGTCCATGAAACAAAGTTTAAAGTTAATGTTGAATTAGGAATTGACATCACAGCACTTGGGACACCCCCGCAAGTGTTCAGTCGCTATCTTCAGCAGCTAACGAAGCGCTTCAATTCCGATGGTGCCAGTAACCGTCTGATTGTATGTCCGTCTCATCCTTGCCCTGAGATTAACATTGTATGTATAGCCAGATCCCCTCGTAACTCTTCGCAGAGCCATTCTCCTTAGACCGTAATTATCTATCTGCACCTCTGCACTGTTTACTCACTCCCAAAGACCCTCACAATATCTAACTTGTCATATATCAATTCACCAGCAAGTGGTGCAGAGCCAGCCAGTCTATCTGCCTGCTCATTTCTGAACACACCGGCATTGGCTGGAGAAAAATATCCAAAGGATGCTAACTACCCGGGAACTCTGAAGTGTTGCTTGCCACTCTGCACGAAGCATGCCTGTTTTTACCTATCTCAACATGCTCTGTGAGTCAGTTACAATAGTTCAATATTAAAGCATGTCAAGGTCATGTTTATTACTTCTGTTTGTTTGTTTGTTTTAGTATCCAGAAGCCATGAGTTGTTAACCCTTAAGCTCAATATTATGGATATCGCAACCTTTCGGCCTTGATTCCATTTAAATACCGTAAATCTGGGAGAAATGTGGCTTTTCTGCCCACCCCCGGGAGTGAACCCGGACCACAAGGAGTTTGTCACCCGCTCACCGCGCAATCCGGTTTAGCCAACTACGCTAGAGAGACGGGCTTTATTACTTCTGTAAACTAGGACATTGTTGTCTGCTGCAGCTGAACTAGATTATTCCCTTCATATTGTTGGCATTGTGCTGAAGTCAATCAGACAAGTTTAGTTGTATGAAGGGTAATATTTCACTTTTAGTAGGAATTCACATGTTTACATTTGTAAAATGACAAATGACAGCCCTGAAAATGCACTTTGGTGAAAATCATCAAAGAACACAATGGGATAGTGCCAGTATATTCATATGAATGAAACTGACAAATTGATTAACAGGACAGTTTAATTTTAAGGAATTTAGAAAAGCTAATCTCTTCATCTATATTGATAGAAGATTGTTCTTTTCACATCTTCATGAAATAATTTAACCATGACAGATGGATTTTTAAAAACTTGCTTATTTTTAAGTGTTTACAAAAATCTAATATGTTGATACTAGATTTGTACTTTCATATTATGAAATGATTGAAAAATTTCAAGTTAATCTAAAGAGAAGGTCAGTTTATTTTATAGGGGTTTTCAAACAAATTAATCTTTACTGCTTTTTAAAATGCAAATACTGGCAGTGCGTGGAAACATGTTTTCTAAATTTAACACAGGTAGGGGGAGTTGCGAATATCTTATGTGTCATTATAAATATGGGTGCTAACAGCTGAGTAGTTACATTCATGGTTCTCAAATTACAACACAGGTTCTAAAATTGTCTACACAGGCAACAGATTTTTTTTTTTAATAAATCCGTTAAAGAGGTGAAAAATGAAACCAAATTTGAAAAGTTCATAGCGACTACCCAAATCAGCAACCTTCGTTAGTTAGTCAGCGGTGCCCTCATGGCAGATTTCAACAACTGTGTTGTCTGTTGTAATTAATGTACATATTTTTCTAAAAATTATTTGTTATATGGTGCAGCTTTAATAGACTCAGTGTCTCCTCCTCTGCCCTCCAACAAGCATCTCATAGGGGGTGACTATTCTGTAATCTTTCCACAAAGTCAGAATGCATCTGCCTTGTGAGGTGAAGAGACAACATCTGCATAGAAATAAGCAAAATCTGCAAAACTGATATGCATGCAAAGCTCACAAAGTTTAGAAATGGATGGACAACTAAAACTTGCTGCCTGAGTATACAAACAGTGAACACTAAGAAGAAGAAGAAGTTGACTCTTTAGTTTTTACCAGGCAATTTTGTGTTCTACAGTTACTGAGGTTTGTTAGATCAACTTGTTTCAGTCTAATTGTCAGCACAGTTCCTTCTGTCCCGTTGTGTTTTATTTTAACATCTTCAGTCTCAAATAGGGACAGCTAGGAATTCAAATTTCTTGTGCTAAAAAGAGTGAAATAATGACAGTCTAGCACTGAAGAAGTGAACAGTCTAGCACTGAAGAAGTGAACAGTCTAGCACTGAAGAAGTGAACAGTCTAGCACTAAAGAGGTGAACAGTCTAGCACTGAAGAAGTGAACAGTCTAGAGCTGAAGAAGTGAACAGTCTAGAGCTGAAGAAGTGAACAGTCTAGCACTGAAGAAGTGAACAGTCTAGCACTGAAGAAGTGAACAGTCTAGAGCTGAAGAAGTGAACAGTCTAGCACTGAAGAAGTGAACAGTCTAGAGCTGAAGAAGTGAACAGTCTAGCACTGAAGAAGTGAACAGTCTAGCACTGAAGAAGTGAACAGTCTAGAGCTGAAGAAGTGAACAGTCTAGCACTGAAGAAGTGAACAGTCTAGCACTGAAGAAGTGAACAGTTTAGCACTGAAGAAGTGAACAGTCTAGCACTGAAGAAGTGAACAGTCTAGCACTGAAGAAGTGAACAGTCTAGCACTGAAGAAGTGAACAGTCTAGCACTGAAGAAGTGAACAGTCTAGCACTGAAGAAGTGAACAGTCTAGCACTGAAGAAGTGAACAGTCTAGCACTGAAGAAGTGAACAGTCTAGCACTGAAGAAGTGAACAGTCTAGCACTGAAGAAGTGAACAGTCTAGCACTGAAGAAGTGAACAGTCTAGCACTGAAGAAGTGAACAGTCTAGCGCTGAAGAAGTGAACAGTCTAGCGCTGAAGAAGTGAACAGTCTAGCGCTGAAGAAGTGAACAGTCTAGCGCTGAAGAAGTGAACAGTCTAGAGCTGAAGAAGTGAACAGTCTAGCGCTGAAGAAGTGAACAGTCTAGCGCTGAAGAAGTGAACAGTCTAGAGCTGAAGAAGTGAACAGTCTAGCGCTGAAGAAGTGAACAGTCTAGCGCTGAAGAAGTGAACAGTCTAGCGCTGAAGAAGTGAACAGTCTAGCGCTGAAGAAGTGAACAGTCTAGCGCTGAAGAAGTGAACAGTCTAGCACTGAAGAAGTGAACAGTCTAGCACTGAAGAAGTGAACAGTCTAGCACTGA